CGCGGAGCCTTGCGAATGTAGGACAGGAGAAGCGCTGGTGGAGACCTTTGCTTCTGGTCAGTGCTGTACAAACGAAGTGGCTCACTCCAGTCACACAAGATGTTTCTTTGGCATTTTCAGGTGGGAAAACGTCCACTGGGGAGGCTGCATCTTCACCTCTGTTTTGTTCATGGTGCAGGAGGCTTTGGGGTGGACTTCTCCCTGGCTACAGATGACTTCAAATCAGGGATTGACCTGGTCAGTCAGAAAATCCTCTCCCATGGAGTGACCTCCTTCTGTCCCACCCTGGTGACCTCTCCTCCATCTGTGTACCACCAGGTGAGTGAGTTTCTCCCCCTCTCATTGCAGGGTGACAAAGGGCTGAGGTCAGTACCAAGAGGTGAGAGGGCCAAGGCTGGGTCTGCAGAGACTGGGATAATTGCCTTGGCAGAAAAGCCGTGGGCATGAGGAGCTGAACTCTACCCCTGGATTTCTTGCCCTTAACCTTTAGACCGCTGAGACAGCGATGTCTCCCAGGCCAGCTTTGCACAATGGGGCTTGCAGCTGGCTTTTTCTTTGCGAGCTGTGTTTGGCTGATGGTCCCAAGTGGTCCAGCTACAAAGCTCTCTCCGGACCTGAGGTTTGGGTTTGTTTTGGCAGGCTGGGGTGCTGTGTCTGGGGTGGCACGTCTGACAAACCCCTTTCTCTAGGTTCTCCCTCAGATCAGTATAAGAAATGGTGGAGCCCACGGAGCAGGTATCCTGGGTAAGTGGTTTTGTCCCTCGCTATCCTCTCTGATGCTATTCTAGGTAGGCAATTATCTTGTTCATTGTTAAGGGGAAAGAAGCTACTGTAGGGACAGCACAAATGGGGCTGGAGCTCTCTCAAAGGGAGGGATACACAGGTGGGCACAGACGCGCTTTCTCCCTCAACCTGTGCCTGGCCTTTGCCATGGCCTCTGCCATCGTATACGCACCGCTCCAGCCCTTTTGGCCCCACAGAGTAATGGCAGTGGGGTGGCTTGGCTTGGCCAGTTCCAGCGCTGCATCTTTCACTGTGCTGAACTCAGAGTTACCTGAGGCATGCGTTTTGCTGTGGGAGAATGGCAAGAGCTCGACTGGAGCAGGGTAGACACAGCAGGTTTCTTGGTGGAGAGAGGAAGGGTCATGGCTTTGTGTTCCTGTTTGGGCAGGGGCCCATCTGGAAGGACCGTTCATCAGCAAGGAGAAGAAAGGGGCGCACCCAGAGCACTGCCTCCGTACCTTCGAGGCAGGTGCCTTCCAGGACCTGCTTGCCACCTATGGGTACTTGGACTGTGTCCGGATAGTCACCCTGGCCCCCGAGATGAAGAGGAGCAGTGAGGTGATCCAGGAACTCACCAAGCGGGGCATCTGTGTCTCACTCGGTAAGGGCTGGGGAGGAGGAGGCTTAGGGAGGCTCCATCTCCCTGTGCCACACGGGCCAGGCAGCCCCTCTCTCGGGGCTGTAGCATCTCTAATGGTGTCTCAGTGCAACTGGACGGGGTGGGATTTTCTTTTGCCTGGCGGCAAAAGGTGACAGACCTGTCACAAATGGGGACCTCACTTGAAGTTGCGAATCTGTCACCCTTTGTACGGTAAGGGCCAAACTTCATATTGATTGCAAAGCCCCTGCAGTTTAACGAGGTAGCATTTGGTGCTGTAAATACACAGGAAAGAATAGCAGTCTTACTTGAATAAAGATGTAATTGAGGGTTGATGATGTGGAAAGGTTCAAACTCCGAAGTTCAACTGCTTGAACTGACTTGTTTGACAGGTGAAATAATTTTCCAGAGGTTACTGTTGAGTTCTGATAACTCTGTTTTTCAACTGGAAGTGCTGTAGGAGACCTCTCCCTCCACTGCCTTGCAGGCCACTGACTTAAAACTGGCTGCATTTTTCTTCTCCTCTGTTTCACAAACTCTTCTTTGCCTCAGATCATTAAAGAAATCCTTTTTTTTTAAAAAAAAGAAAAGGGGGCAGTTATTCAGGGTGAAATTAAACTTAAGTGAGAAGGGCATTCATACAGCAGAACATCTCTTATCTCACAGCAACAGAAAGCGAAGAACCACAGAAAGGCAAAGTTTGCCCACAAAGCATTAGAGCCGCTGTCCGTGTTGGGGAAAACAGACTTTTCCTTCTGGGTAGTTTTATCCCCATATTCTTTCTTGGCAAAGTCCCCACTGTCTCTACTCTCTTGACAGCTCTCTATAAAGCCTTTAAATATCTGAGGACAGCAGAAAGGCGTGTCCTTGGACCTCTAGCCCAGCCTCTAGCCTCTGGGAGCAAGGCAGCATTTGTGACAGTTGTGATGTGAACAGTGAACGTGTTCAGGTGAAACACCCACTGCCAGAGTCCCCCATGGTCATGGCCAGACACCTCTGTGCCGAGGCGGGCATGTCAGACCTCAGCCCAGGGTGGGGCATCAGAGTAGAGTCCTAGTGACAGAGCATCTTCACCCCTGCAGGGAAATAAATGGAGAGATGGGAAGAAAAATCATGCATTGGTCTTTGTTCCCAGGTCACTCGGTGGCTAATCTCTCCCAGGCTGAGGAGGCTGTGCAGCACGGTGCTACCTTCATCACTCACCTCTTCAATGCCATGTTGCCGGTGAGTAGCCGAGGGCACTTGCCCTGCACTGGTACTGCTTTTCGTGCTTTCTCTCCTGCTCCCCACCGATGCGTCTTCTCCCCAGCTTGTTTCATAACAGGCCTTGCAATGAGGTTTCAGCACTGAACCTCTGGCTTTACGTTTCTACTGCCTGATCTAAAAGAGGGTTGAGACTGTAGTGGCTCTTGAAATTTGAGGAAATGCCCAGATTTGTCTGGTAAAGGATGGAGGACGCAGCTGCCAGGCACTGTTTGATAGAGATGGGAGCTGCGTCCCCTGATGGGAAGGGTCTCAGCCCACAAGTCCTGGTGATGCTCCACAGCTTGTCCTCTCTCCCCTCGGGCAGTTCCACCATCGTGACCCTGGGATCGTGGGGCTGCTGACAAGAATCTTCTATGGCATGATCTCTGATGGCATCCACACCAACCCTGCCGCCCTGCGAATAGCCCACCGAGCCCACCCCAAAGGTGAGCCATGCTGGGCCCACACAGTGTCACCAGCCATCCTGAGCGCTGTGCCATCTCCCACAAAACACTCGTGCAAGTGCTGTGGCATGCTGCCCTCGCTGCCTGAAAGAGGTCACAGCCATGTATGCTGATCCACTAGCTCTCTTGCTTCAGTCGGACGTGGCTAGAGATGCTTTGTCCCCTTTCTGAGAGGACCAGCACGGCATAGGGTTTGGAGCTGCAGCAAGGTCAGCTGCAAAGCTAACGCAGCCTCTTTCCTTGCGTTCCTCAGGCCTGGTGCTGGTGACGGATGCAATCGCTGGCATGGGGCTGGCACCAGGTCGGCACACGCTGGGTCAGCAGGTGGTGGAGATTGATGGGCTGAACACCTACATTGCAGGTAAGTGCCGTCCTGCAAAAGACATGCGACCCAGGATTTCTACCCCTTTTGGTCACATTATGCTTTCCCACTGCCCCACTTCTCCTTGCTATGAGTTGTGGAACCTACTCAGTGCCGTCCTGTTCCTCTCCCAGGCACAAAGACCCTGAGTGGTAGTGTGGCAACCATGGACACGTGTGTGCGACACTTCCAAGAAGCCACAGGTAAATGAGCCTTGTCCACAAGCTGTTGCTCCCTACGTTGACTCGGGAAGAGGTCTCGCTCTTGCTAGCTGTGTCTGCTCCACCAGGGAACATTCCCTCTTGCCTGAGACAATGAGGAGGGCTGGGATCAGCGGCACTGGCCTCAGATGAGCACCTTTTTCAGGGGAGGTTTCATTTTAATCCATAGCACTAATGAGAGGTGAACTCTCCTGCTCCTTTCTCACAAAGGTGAATGATTTTCCCCTCCCCATACTCTAGGTGTTCAGTTCTTCTCTTCCCGCTGCCTCCCGTAAGGATGTTTTCCCTGCCCAGCTCCCTACAGCTGTGGCAAGGGTGTTCCAGTTCGGGTCCCTGCCAGGCTGACAGTTGCCTTAGCCAGGGGGGTTTGGGCTGCTCTGGCAATGGGGCTGTTTGCTGCCCTAATGCCTCCCCCTTCTCTGTCCAAGGGTGCTCGGTGGAGACCGCGTTGGAGGCAGCGTCTCTGCATCCCGCCCAGCTCCTGGGGATTGAACACAAAAAGGGGACACTAAATTATGACTCCGATGCAGGTACTGGTAGGAGGACAGCAGGTACTGGTATGGGGACAACAGTGTGAGGGCTCCCGGGTGCTGGAGCAAAGCAGGGGCTGCTGTGAACACATCTTCATCCCTTGCTTCAGTGGGAGCTGCAGGGAGACTCGCTCTGCCTGGGATTTGCTCTGGGCTTTTGCTCCAGTGGTTCTTCCCTTGGATGCTGGTGGTGTTTCATGAGCCCTTTGGAGAGATCCCCACATCTCAGCCAAGCATGGAGCAGAGCCGCCATAGCAAGGATGGCACCACACTGCTGTCCTGCTGCCATGTTTGGGTGGGGAGAAGCTCCTTCCCACAGAGCCCAGCTCCTCCCAGCCAGCTTCAGCTGCTCCATTTATCTGATGGCTGCTTCCTTTCTCTCTTGTCCAATGCAGATTTCCTGATGCTGAATGACAGTCTGTATGTGCAAGCCACATACATCGCGGGTGAGGAAGTCTGGAGACAGGATGCGTTAGGCATGTGACGCTGGGCTGTCCTGGTGCCCTCTGAGGCTCCCTGGCACTGTTGTTAGCAGCTTTGGTAACCACCCCACTTCTCTTTTTTTTTTTCTTAATTCCTTCCTGCAACTCCCTTAAAGGAGCCTCATACCAAAGAGCTGCGTTTTTCAGCGCAACCACTGCTTCCAGTTACAGCCATGTCTGCAACAAATTTGTTGGTGCTCAGTTGGTGGAGTGGGGAAAGCTGGCAGATCTGTGTTGGGGGGGATTGTCAGTCCCCAGAGTGACCTGAAGGACTGCACAGCTGTCCTGCATGGAGTCCCCAGACAGAGGTGCTCCTGTCGCCGTCTTACAGCAGTGTGAAGCTGTCCCAGCCTTTGCACTTTTTTATACAGCACACACTAACCTGCCCCATGGCCAAGGCAGGCTCAAGCCATTTCCATTCCTCTGCCTGCTGTTTGCCTCACTCCCAGGCATCCGTGGCTGGTTAGACATCAGCTTCCACCAGCTCAGGTCGCAGCTCTTCACGTTAAAAGGTTCCTGTTGTGTCAGCAGAAGTTGAGGATCACGTTCTGATCCCCTGGCAGTCCCTCTGTCGTGTGTCCTCTGGAGCAAGGCTGTCACAGCTCGCCGACTCTGTGCCATTGTGAGGCTGTGAATCCATGTGGGCTGAATCCTCAGGGCAGAGATCAAACCCAGGAAAAATGAGGCATTGCTGGTCCTTTGTGCCTTTTCCCTGCATGGGCATTGAGTCCACAGCACGTGGTTTCAGCTGGAGACATGGACAGCATCCTGCCATAGAAAACAATGTTCCTCTTAACCCTTTGTTCTGGCTAGATGGGTTCTGCAGACTCTGTGCCCAGCCATACCCAGTAGAGCCTCTGCATTGTCTGATGGGTTTATGCATTCCTCAGGCCACAGACTGGAAGCTTTTGCTTTATAGGATGCATCCAGACTGGTAGTGACGGGCTCACAAGCCCTCAGTCCAGCTCAGGGACTGAGGGAGAGGAAAACTGCAGTGGGATTCTGGCCTTTCAAGACAGTTGCTGATAGCTCATTATTCCCGTGCTCATTATTATCTTCTCCAATACTTGACTGTCAGCTCTTTTCCTGACACTTGGACACTTCTATGCGAAGACTGATGCTGATTTTGAACCTACCGCAGTCAGAAAAGCCTTGTGATAAGTCTTAGACAACCTCTGACAAGCCTCAAACCGATTAGACGGTTTTTGTAGTGAGGGGAGGGCTTAGACAAGGGCTAAGTCTTAGCAAGGGTGGAGGTTGTAAGGCAAGACAAAAGTCTGGTCGGGATTGGCAGAAGTGTGCCAATTTTTCCAGCACTTTTTTATAACCTTTAACAGCAACATTTGGAAGTGCTTTCCTAGCACCTTAGAGCCCTGCTGAAATAACTGGCAGCCTTGTAGAATTTCTAACATCAACTGCCAATGTCAGCAGAAACTATAATCTCCATGATTTGAAGCATTTGAAGGAGACATCAAATACTTGCTGTGAAATGTGACGTGCTATGGCATTACAAATCTCAGCGGGGGCACTTTTGACTGCTGTTGAAAAAAATCCAAGGGAAAAAAATGCATATGAAACAAGGTGTCTAACTTTTTTTTATTTACAAAATTAAATAATCAAAAGGAAATCTGAAATAGAAATGGCATCAGACAATACCTGTATATGTGTATTACCCTTTCTTGTCGGCTGAAAATACGCTGTACCCTCGCACGGTGTTGTACGGTGGCATGGCGTGTACCAGGCTGGGATGCGAGCTGCCGGTAGCACCGTGGTCCTCGGGCCTCTGTGTCTTGATGGGGACAACGCTGACGTGGGCGCTCCTGAAGATGCCCTGGGATTTGGTCTTGGTCCCAGGGAGGGAGGCTGCAGCCGGACAGCCAGCGTCCCGGCGGTGGAAATGTGGCCCAGCAGCTCCCCGTGGGGCTCAGGGGAGAGGGAGGCCAGCCCGTGGGGGCCGGATGCACCGTCGCGGTGGGAGCGCGGCTCCTCTGATCCGCCGAGGCGTCCCCAGCCATGGCTCGCCCGGCTTCGGAGGAAGGCTTTGTGCCTCGGCACCCCGGGCCTCCACCCGGCCCTCCCTGCGC